CTCAAATGATGTAGCTGAAGTTTTGGCGGTAAAGATTCGACAATCAAAACCTTGTCATTTAGTGGTATACAAGCCTCCAGGATGCACTTCCCAGCAATTCCAGGAGCAGCTTTTGAAAATGGGCCAGTCTGGGAAATCTCCCAACTCTTGCCCAAAACATTTTATTAAAAGCAGATTTCAACTTGAAACACCTAAAATGGAAGAGTATAGCAAACAATGTTTTAGCAGAGATCACCCGGGAGGCAGCTCAGATGAAAATTCACACACACACGAACTATTAAATCTCTGCGCCAAATTCCCCTTTAAAACCCAGCAAATATTAGAGTCTACAAGACTAGAAAAACACGCTGGACCTCATCTTCACTAACAATGATGATGTGCATGGGACATAACTGTATAAAAGACAATACACTCAGATCACAACATAATAGAGGTAAAAAACATGTATGCACAGGCTCTGGCCAGCAAAAATGTGATAAGTCATGAAGGTCTCCTCACAAAATTCAATTTTAATAACAAAAACATACAATGGGATCAAGTAAACCCATGTCCTAAATGAAACAAGCTGGGAAGATATCCTAAACAACACGGATCGAACATTTGCCTAGAAAAAATGAGCTCTGTGGTTCTTGAGATCCCCTCAAGACACATTCCATTAAGAAAAAGAAAGAGAAGATGTAAACTAGAAACAGACGAAGGTAAAGGGAGTCACAGAGCTGCTGGAGAGGACCCCAATATATCTGAAATACGAAGGGAGGCACTGGTCAATGAAATTGTAAATATCGAACTTAAGCTGAAGGAATTTACAGGAAACAAGAATTTCAGGAAGAACCTAAAAGGCTAAAGGAAATTGAAAAAAAAATACTTCTTCTCTTATGCCAAATCTAAGAGAAAAATAACACCCAGTATTGGGCCCTTGTTTAGGCAGGATGGGACATACACAGATAACAGCCATGAAATGAGTGATATTATCCTAACTCCACAAGACTAAAAAAGGCAATAAATGACATGCCCATGCACTCTGCCCCGGGCCCCGGACTCATGGAACTCGTGTTCATCAAGAATTGCAAAGAATCCCCTATCGCATGCCTTCAGCATTCTATGGAGGGGGGGAGCATGGACACAGGGGTCATCCCACCACTAAAAACAACAGAATGGGCCCCACTCTACGAAGGTGGCAGTCAAGCAGTTGCAAGAACTACAGCCCGAAAGCATCCCATATCATAAAAATTTGTTGAAAGGGTTATAAGAAGCAAGATCGCCAACCACCTAGAACTCATCAGTTACAAAACCCAGGGCAAAAATGGGTTTTTAAAACAGGTCACTCCTGCCTGTCCCAGGTCCTGGACCACTTTGACAAGGTCCTAGATGCTGTTGGGATAAACAAACTACAGACGTAGTATACACAGACTTTGCACAAGCTTTCCACAAGTGTGACCATGGTGTAATAGTACACAAAATGCGGGATAAAGGAAATAACAGGAAAAGTTGGTTTGATGGATCTATAACTTCCTGACAAAAAAGAACACAAAGAGTAACAGTAAATAGAGCAAAGTCTCAGGCAGCCACTGTGAAAAGCTCTGTTCCACAAGGCAACAGTACTTAATCCCATTCAACTCCTCATCCTCATTTCTCACATAGACAGACATGTAAGCGATAGCTCTGTGTCTTCCTTGGCGGATGACACCCAGATTGCCATGACAGTGACTCCATCGAAGACACGCATGACTCAAGGCGGACATCTAACCAAATCTTCAAATGGGCAACTCTCATAAACAAATGAAGTTCAACGAGGGAGAAGTTCAACTACTCAGATATGTGAAATCTGAGGAAATTAAAATATATCAGGGTATACGACATATTTCTAACATATTTTTAGACGGAAAAGAACTGTGAAGGACCTTGGGAGCGATAATTCAGAGGATCTCGCTTCAAAGACCTAAACAATGTATCTAATCCTATCTGCTGGAAATGATAGGATGGATAATGAGAATCCTTCAAATTTAGGGGTGCCAAGCCATGAATCACTTCTTCAAATCAATTGTACTCTCTAGGCTGGAATGCTGCTGTACATAACTGCCCCCTTAATGGCTGGACAACGTTGCAGACTGGACGGCGTACACAAGTAGCTAAAGGCACCTAAATTACTGAGAACGGTTGAGGTCCTTGATTTGCTATCCCTCGAACGCACAGGCGATGAGAGATATCATGATAATATACACTTGGAAGTTCCTGGTGGATTGGTACCAAACCTGCACAACTGAAATCCTTCATGTGAAATCATAAAGATCGGCAGGAGATGCAACATTCCCCCAATGAGAAACAGGGGCTCCACGAGTACATTGAGAGACAACACAATAAGTGTCCGGAGCCCAAGACTGTTCAACTGCCTCCCAGCATAATAAGGGGGATTACAATAGACCCTGGCTGTCTCCAAGAAGCACTTGACAGGCACCTAAAGTCAGAACCTGACCAACCGAGTTGTGGTTCATACGTCAGTTTGCGTGCGGCCGGCAGTAACAGCCTGGTTGATTAGACCCTGATCCATCATGAGGCTGGTCTCAGACCGGGCCGCGCGGGGCGTTGCCCCGAAACCCTCTCCGGTAAACCCAGGTGTTTGATTACTCTACATAGCATCTTGCACTTTATCCTGATACACTTGGTTGCAATCTTGGTGGTTCGGAAATCAGAGTGTGTTTTTGGAAAATGAAGTTGTGTTTTGAATAAGAGATTCACTAGTTAGATAAGTAGAAAGATTATGCAGGTCACTTTCTGAGATGATTGGTTTCACTTGTGGTAGGTTAAGTTAAAAGTGGAGGTTAAATAGTGGAGTTTGGAAAGTAAGGGTTTGTGTGTATGAATGTGCCCTTTTCCTTATTTTAAAGCAGTCAGGGCATCCTAATTTGGAGAATTGTGTTTTGAGTATTTCTTCTTCTTGTTCCAATTTTTGAGGGGCTGTATATCCTGAGTGCACTTAAAAACAGGCTTGATATAGTGCCCCTCTTATTCTGTACTGAATGGTTCCTGAAGAAATGAACATAGATGGCAGCGTGAGTGGGCTTCCTGTAAACTAAGAATTCAACCTGATCATTATTATAAGCACATTAAGGAATGGTAGTTGATTGTTTGTTTTCCATTCAACTTTGAACTGTACAGAGGAAACAAGATGATTAAGATTCTTAAAGAATATGACAAAACTACCCCAGCTGTCGCCTCATACAGTTAGAACATCAACGCATCTGTACCAGATCATGTCTGGTAATTTAATGCTGGGAGGGATGGTAGTTTCATAGTATTCCATGCATAAATTGGCGAGGCGAGTACGGGAGAGAGTGGACTTCCCAGGCTGCAACCAAATTTCTGGTTGAAGAAAGGGAAAACATTTGTAGTGACACATAATTAGGTGAAGGCTAAGATTTTGTGGATAGAAATTGGGAACTTCATTTGATGTGGAAGCAACATAACGATTTTGAATAAAATTGACTACTTCACCTAATGACAATAACACATACGAGAAATTAACCAAAAATCTCCTCCCTACCGTAAGTGCCAACTTCAGCAAAGAAGTATGAGCCATTGGAAATAACAAAAAAGGGCAGTAACATTCTAGTTTAGTTCAAACAACAAACCCAAGTCTTCCTTACTTCATGGGTTACCCAAGACCCACCAGCAGGGTGTACCATCGAGACCAATCATCTCCAGTAGAGGGTCATTTTCGTGCAAATTAGCTAAATGGCTGAGTGGTCTTCTATCCCCTTTCCTTGGCAAGTTTAACCAATTACATTTTTGATACATTCAGAAGATCTCACTGAAAAAGCCAGAAACATCAGCCTCCAGAATAAAAGAATGTAAAATCTGGATGTAAACTCCTTGTTCACTAGATGATATCCTGAATTTCCTCGACTCCAAACTGTTTCCACATCAAAATCTGTAACTCTCATACACATTAAAACACCGATTGTGTCCACTTCATCTTAATATTCTAGAATCCTCCTCACACTAGCATCACTCAACACTATTGAATGAAGAGCTCGTAAAAAAATCAACCTGGATGACTACCAATAAACATAGACTTAACATTGACAAAACCTATGTTATGTTTGGGAGCAGAGCAAGTGATGCCCAAATAAGATCAAATTTCGTTCGGATTTTTAACCCCGGAGGGTTAGCCACCCAGGATAACCCAAGAAAGTCAGTGTGTCATCGAGGACTGTCTAACTTATTTCCATTGGGGTCCTCAAGCTTGTCCCCCAGGATGCGACCCACACCAGTCGACTAACACCCAGGTACCTATTTACTGCTAGGTGAACAGGACAACAGGTTTAAGGAAACGTGTCGAAATGTTTCCACCCGCCGGAAATCGAACCCAGACCCTCCGTGTGTGAAGCGGGAGCTTTAGCCACCAGGCCACCGGGCCACCCAATTAATTATAATAAACATTATAATTAACAATATTCTTATTGCTAAATATAATGAGGGAAAGTTTTTGGGTCTTCACCTTGGCAGCAACTTGAGATTCAACACCCACATCCAACACATTACAAAAACTATATCCAAAACAGTTGGCATCCCCTTAAAGATACGTTATTATGTACCACAACAGCACTACTTACATCATATTATTCACTGATCTACCTCTACCTCACCTATGCTATTAACAAAGCCAATAATAACCCGACAAAAAGCAGCGGTACGAATGATCACACACACCACTGCTACACAACATTCAGCTCCTTACTCTTCAAAGACCTAAACTTACTCACTATACATAACATTCACTCTGACCAGTGTGCTCACTGAGTGCCGCCCTGTTAAAAAAAATTGTCAACTTCCGGCAGAGGACTGGCGAGAGTGATAGTGGAATGCAGTATAGAAGGTGTGCTGGTACTAATTATGGGGCCATGGTGGCGGATCATATCCGCTATTCCACCGCCCCCCATCCCTCACCCCCATCCCTTACCCCCCTTCCTCCCACACACAAGGCCACGCACTATCGCCTCACTATAAAAGGAGTGAGAGAGCGGTTGGGGCGGATTAGTCAGCTCTGCTGCAGTTGTTGGAGAGGTGAGAGCTTTAGGAAGAGCATCATAAGATGTGGAGAGTTGAAGCTCAGTAATTAATTCTCTTAATGATTGTTTGGTCTTCGTGCACCATCAGGGCACAAACTATCAGCACAGTAAGGAAAACCATCACCGAGAATCGATGGAAATTGTTGATAGACATTATCCTAGAAAGTTGCTCCGGCCCATCATATGCTGTATAAAGTTAAATTCATAAATTTAATGGTAGTAAATTAATGAAGAAAAACATTATTAATGATTAATAGTCGGCACTTTATGATACGTACATTACTTGAGTTAAAAATGCAAGTGTAAGTTTTTCTTAGCATGTCAAGGTTGTAGTGTAGTTATTATTATTAATACATTTATGGGGGAACACTAAACCCATTGAAGTCATATAGTGCCTGGGAGGCATTCAGGTTCAATCCAATGAAGGGGAGGGCAAGTCCAATTCCTTGGATTAAGAGTTCCTCACTGGCATCAAAGACCCTCCCTTGAGGGAAGTGTATTAACTTTCATAAAGTTCCATGGGGTTAATTCATGCATGATGTTTCTGCAGATGAGACCCGTGTGGCTGTTGGTTGTGTTGGCTGCTGTAGTGGCGGCCGATGACGACCAGGAAGAAAAGAACAATAATAATACTCAGAACGCTGGTGCTAGCAACAATGATACACAGGGACGGACTCGTAACACTAAAGGAGCTGGCCAGGGAGACACCAGGCTCCTGAACCTCGGTGCAGGAGACTCTATCGCAGGACTACTCGCAGCAGCTGGCAACCCGAACTTTGTTGACAACCAAGGACCTGACTTCGGTGGCCGTCAGATAGGAGATGGCTTCGGTGGACGTCCATTTGGGAATGGATTTTCTGGACAACCACTAGGTGGCTTTAGTGGACAACCAATAGAAAGTGGCTTTGGTGGACGACCATTTGGAGGTGGATTTGGTGGACGACCATTTGGAGGTGGATTTGGTGGGCGACCATTTGGAGATGGATTTGGTGGACGACCATTTGGAGGTGGATTTGGTGGACGACCATTTGGAGGTGGATTTGGTGGACGACCATTTGGAGGTGGACTTGGTGGACGACCATTTGGGACTGGATTTGGTAGTCAACCACTAGGAAGTGGCTTTGGTGGACAACCAATAGAAGGTGGCTTCGGTGGACGACCATTTGGAGGTGGATTTGGTGGACGACCATTTGGAGGTGGATTCGGTGGACGACCAATAGGTGGTGGCTTTACTCCTAGTTTCGGCGGACGACCTGGCGGTTCTAGCTTTGGAGGAGAGCCCAATGGTGTCGGTAACGGTGGCTTCAACGGTCAGGGTGGGAGCGGGTTTAACAATCAGTTTGGAGGTGGAATTAACAACCAGGTAGCAGGTTCGGATGGATCGTTTGGAAGACAGAAGGCTGGACAGTGTCCACCTGTGCGTTTAGGATGTCCACCCACTAGGAGTTTCCAGCCACCCGCCCCCTGTGTTAGTGACAGTGAGTGCAGTGGTACTGACAAGTGTTGTTTCGACATCTGCCTGCAGGACAGTGTGTGCAAACCTGCAGAGAACCTGCCTGGCTTCGCCCGTTGAAGACCCTTGTTAATATTCTCATAAATTATTATTGTTTCCTACTTGTTTAATAAAGTATATGAAACGTTCATCTCTGTTCATATTATATTCTTTGTACATTAAATATTGTATATAACTTTATTTATAATTGTTGTTATCTAAGTGTTTAAGTATACCTGGAGTATACCTGGAAGTTGTTTCGGGGGTCAACATCCCGAGGCCCGGTCCATGGCCAGGTCTCGTGGTGGATCAGGGCCTAATTAACCAAGCTGTTACTGCTGGCCGCACTCAAACCAACGTACTAACCACAGCCAGGCTGGTCAGATACTTTAGGTGCTTGTCCAGCTCCCTATTGAAGACAGTCAGGGATCTATTGGTAATTAATAATTACAATATTAAATATTAATACCAGTAATGGTAAATTATAAAATAACGTGGACTGTATATGATTTGGCTTGCTGGGTACACAGAACATAATTATTGCATATAAATTATAATGGTGCTATTATACAAGAAATTCGTATTACCACTTACCATTTAATTACTGGATCATAATTGTTATTTTTTGGAAACACACCCTAACACTAACACAACAGCTAGAATTTACGATGGCCAACGAAAAAGTACTGTACGTTATGGGTAAGCATCACTTAGCTAAGGTATGCTCCTGGGAAGAATCGGTGTTCTCTATTTTTTCGTTCTTGTTGCCGAACTGTAAGGGGTTTTCCACACTATTTATTCCAATTTTTCAATGGGAACGTGTCAGCAATTTCTAAATTACGGACTGAGGCCGATATACACCAAATGAACTTCGATGATACCTGATTAAATTACACCACTAACAGACCAGTATTCACATGTATTTTCACTATGGCATCCCCCCAGCAGCATCACTCCCTGACTGTTTAACACATCCCTCACTCAAAATTTCTCGAAGAATCAAATCAGCATCACATTTTAATACACAATTATATTATTCAAATTTACACATGCTGAATTTAGGAAAATACAAAATTTTCCACAAATACTATATTAACGTACGATTTATTACCAGACCCAGCACAGTGCTCTTCCGCTAAATTTCATCAAAGCTTTTGTTTATAACTTGATAGCGCCTGGTAAAATATGATAAGGAAATGCCTCGACATGATAGTGGCTTTCTTTGCACTTAGCAAACCAGTATTGTAATTACACATTGTAAACTATGCAAGGAAATAAACACCTTAATCCTTAATCCTTAATTCGTTAATCAGGAAGTGTAGGTGCTCCCGGTTCAGTTTTGCATAGGTTATTTCTGTTATTGATTTCAGTGTGATAACTTTAGAAAGCCTCTTCTGATAGGCTTCAGAATTTCAACATTCGTGTATTCTACTTTGAAGAAGGGGCATTCCGGTGGAAGAAAGGAAACAAAGAATGTAAGGGAAGAGATGTCAGAATAGGAAAGAACAATAAGTAGGGTTCCGCAGGCTAGGTATTAGAACCAGTCCTGTTTCTGGTTTATGTGAATGATATATCAGATGGGATTATTATATCAGATGTATCGCTGTTTGCTAATGATAAGATAAGATTTCGTTCGGATTTTTAACCCCGAAGGGTTACCCACCCATGATAACCCAAGAGAGTGCGTCATCGAGGACTGTCTAACTTATTTCCATTGGGATGCGACCCACACCAGTCGACTAACACCCAGGTACCTATTTACTGCTAGGTAAACAGGACAACAGGTGTAAGGAAAAAAGTGTCGAAATGTTTTCATCCGCCTGGAATCAAACCCGGGACCTCCGTGTGTGAAGCGGGAGCTTTAGTCACCAGGCCACCGGGCCTGGTGGTCCGGTGGCCTGGTGGCCAGGATAGGGCTACGAATGGATATGGACAAACTGCAAGATTGGTCAGATAATACAAATACGGTTTTTACGAAAATATCAATTAAAGTGTAATACTCAAAATTTTAATCATATTATTCTGAAATGCTGGATGTTATATAAAATTTAATCAGATTACTGACAAAGGTAAAGACCTTTCAAATGCCTGATGAATCATTCAAAATGCTTTTCACTAAATAAGATCTGTCCTCGAGTAAGACACAAACTGCGTCAAACAATCATTTTATAGACTCACACAAAAAAATAAAATCTATTATTAGGCTGTACTGCCAGCGTGTCAGCGTGCCTCGTTGTGCTCCGGGTTTTTCGTGTTTTCACGGTCGCTCTTACGTGCTAGAACTTTAATTTGTGTCATCAATCCTATACGATACATCCCTCTAGCGCCTGGAACAAATCTTGGGCGGAAAACATTATATACTGAGTCAAAAAAGGAGAATTAGTGTGCACTAGCAGAGTTTACTGCCAGAGGGGAATCATAGGCCTGTCCCGTGTGGAAAAAAAATAATAATTGAACTTTTCATGTCAGAGGAAAGAAAGTCTCCCTGATAACATTGAGTATACATAGTGTATAGTGTATACTACAGTGGCTCCCTAGTATATTGATGATAAAGGCTAAAGTGTCATTTGAAAACAGGTGAATTTGTAAATGAAGTGATAAGCCTATAGAGGCAGGTGCCAGAAGTCGCCAGAACTTACCACAGGTCAGCTGTTTTTAATAATCTTCCTGGCTTGCCAGTGTACTCGCATATAATCTGTATACCAGTGATTAGCAGAATACAGTGTTGTAGTAGCAACTAACCAGTATTATAATGGACTTAGTGGAGTGGAGTGACTTTCATTAGTTTCTTTTTCTTAAATACGAGACGTTACTGTGAATTTCATATAACCTGTAGTTACCAGCAGTCGAAATAAAACACAACGAGAAGCAATTATTACTACAGAAAAAGCGTCCTTCCTCCAAAATTGCACCAGTCAACTATAGTGATAATATAGCATTTATTGTGGTGGAGACGGAAAAAAAAAAAAAAAAAAAAAAAAAAAAAAAAGAGAAAAGCCAGATACAGCGATTGATAAACAAGGAGGTGACCGTTCGTCATTGTAGGAGCTGCCAGATATCACCGGCTCTTCAACACGCAAGTTATACTTTTGTATCAATCAAATCACATATTACTCGGGTAGATAATTTCCAGTAGATCCTTCATGTGTTAGCTCAAATCACCGCCCAGTATGTTTTAAAATAAGTGACCCACTGTCAGAGCAATCGTCTGGCCCGAACCCTTGCCTGGTCCGAACCCTTGACTGGTCCGAACCCGGGACGGGTTTTCAAACAGTTTCGTTGGACAATAAAGCATACTGTAAACGGATGGGTTGTAGGCGCCCTATAAACACAAACATTAAAATCAGGAACGTGACGGTAAGCGTCCCAATATACAAAAAGAGTTAGAAACAGAAAAAACAAATAGCTAGAGCTTCATTTAAGGTTATTAATAGAATTTTCAAGGGGTTTGCTAGTAGAATTGCAGTAAATCAACCATTCAAATCATTATGAAGCCCTGTGTAGTCTGTGGTCAGTCAAACAAACGGGCTTCCACAGGGTAAATTGTCATTTTTGGGGAAAATTTGGGTGTCACGCCCCTTGTGCAGATATCCCAGAACTAGCTACAAGCAGTATTAAAACAGAGAAGTGTTTTTGGGTATGCTCAAATGAGGAAAAACTGTGGACAAAATCACAAGGGTATTAAAAGAGGACAACATCAAAGCGCTTTCATAGAAAACCTGGAAGCTTTCTACAACAGAATGGGAACATAAAATGTCTGGGCTGATGGTACTGCCCTTGATACTGGCCATGTAGTATAAACTGTAAGGCTGGAGGGATGTCCTGGTAGTCAGTAAATGTGGGGCTGATAGTGCTGTCCTGGGAGACAGTAATGGTGAAGCTGGAGGGGCTGTCCTGGGAGACAGTAATGGTGAAGCTGGAGGTGCTGTCCTGGGAGACAAGTAATGGTGAAGCTGGAGGTGCTGTCCTGGGAGACAGAAATGGTGAAGCTGGAGATACTGTCCTGGGAGACAGAAATGGTGAAGCTGAGGGCTGTCCTGGGAGACAGAAATGGTGAAGCTGGAGATACTGTCCTGGGAGACAGTAAAAGGTGAAGCTGGAGGTGCTGTCCTGGGAGACAGAAATGGTGAAGCTGGAGATACTGTCCTGGGGGACAGAAATGGTGAAGCTGGAGTATTGTCCAGGGGTCGGGAAAATTTTACGCAGGAAGGAATACATATAAATGACCTCATAGGGGACAGGAGCCATAGTAGGGAAAAAGTGTAGTCAAAGATAAGATAAAAACCAATATTGCAAACTAGAAATACCGCAGGAAATAGCAAACAAAGGGCTTTCCAATAGCAATAGTGAGGATAAATTACCAAAAACAACTGTGGGAGCTCCATTGTTGGTGCTAGGGAGGATAGAAGTAAGACAGGGAAACATGCACCAACAGGGAATACAGTCACAGAAACCCAAGGCAAGCGGAAAAACCCAAGACTGTGCACATACTATGCACTTGGTATTGCTGGCATGGGAAATCTGGAAAAACAGATGGGACATGCAACTATGACCACCCTAGAAAATGCCATGCCCATATGAAAACAGGAAAATGCAAACTCCCTTCCTGTAAGCTTTTTCAAACCCCGAAATGTGTACCTCTTCAGTACAGGAAAGACTGTGCTATAACTTAAATTGCCAGGCATACCATCTAAAGGGGACAAAAAGATACAAAACATCCCGGCCAGGGGAAAACCTGGGTAGCCACAGCCACTCAAGAGGGAGAGGTTTTTAGTGCCAGGAAGGAAAAAAAACTGGGAGGGAAAAGGCAGAAATCGTACACCAAATCCAGTCATTCCTGGAGTTTGGAACCACAGTCGATGGCCTCCACTCCAAACCAACAGATACAGATACTAATGCCGGGAAAAAAAAACCCCCCCCAGTACCAACAATACCACCAGTCCGAAACATTCTTCTTTGCAAATATAAAAGGGTCTAAAGCCGCTACAAACAACAAAATACCTTTTCATCCGTGGACTGGGTTGCAGAGGCAAAGGCAATGTTCGCGGCTTTCACTGAACCCACATAAAGGATCACTTGGACAACGAAGTATGGATCCCAGTTACAACCTATACAGATGTGACAGAGTGAACAGGCAAAAAGGGGGGGTTGGCCCGTACATTTGCAGAGTCACTTGTTTGCACAGAACTGCTTAATGCCTCAAATGACGTAGTGGAAGTTTTAGCAGTAAGGTCGAGAACCAAAACCTAGTCATTGTGGTAGTCTACAAGCCTCCGGATGCAACATCCCAGCAATTCCAGGAAAGCTGTTAAAAATTGACCACTGTCTGGAAAATCTTC